AGAGAGAGAGAGAGAGAGAGAGAGAGAGAGAGAGAGAGAGAGAGAGAGAGAGAGAGAGAGAGAGAGAGAGAGAGGGCGTATGGCGGCGGTACCAGGGATTGCCTGTGAGCAGAGGAGGTACCACGACATCAACTGCGAAATGCCTGACGCCGACACGTGCACCACGCTGTATGAATGACACGTGGCTCTTTTTTTTGTCTTTTCCTCCCGCAAACGCCCTGGATGGTTGATAGCTCTCTATACGTTCAAACTCTAGTCTATAATACGACAAGAAACATCATTCCAAAGCCACTCTCGGCCGTCGCTCTGGACTTCGCCGGAATTGTTCACTCTCGGCCGTCGATCTCTGTGATCTAAAGGCAGGGCGTACTCACATTGAGACTTTTTTTTTCAACTTATATTTGGACGTCATTGCGGTAAGATGCATCCAGGCGTAGCCGTAAAAGCGGTCAGATTCATCTAGGAAAGTCCTAATAGTACTGTGACTATGATGTCAGAATCAGCAATGAGAAATTCCGAACTCTTTCGATTGTTTTTAATTATATTTTTTTTGGGAGAACTCTTTCGAATTTTTATTATTATTTTTTGGGGGGGAGAACTTTCTCGATATGATATGATGTAAGGGCCTCGCCACACCACTGTCGAAACGAAAAACGTTAAAAAAAAAAAAAAAAGGTTCAAATGCATGTTACCAAAGAAAGTGGCAAGATGCATCCGTTCCTATGAATAGCAACAGATGCATCTGGCCACTTTTTGGAGAAGATGCACTAGTGCTTTTTTCGTTTCGACAGTGGTGTGGCGAGGCCCTAAGCCTTGCGCACAGTGGGGCCCGTTTGTAGTAAAATTCCAAGGTAAAAAAAAAAAAAAAAAAGAGGAAACGGGTGAAAAAAAGGGAAAAAGGACCTCCCTCCTCTGTAGTCGCTCCTCTACCGGTAGTCGCTGAAGTAGTGGGACAGGCATGAGTAGGGACGTCGCTCCTCTAGCCTGTAAAGTGAGAAAAATGATGGAAGAAAAAAAAATAAAAACAAATGATGGATGAATCTGTTCAGCCTTGAGGGAATGATGCACTCGGCACTTCTTACCTCTGACAAGTTGAGGAGCCAAGCCCTACCTGTCTCTTCGCCGATTGGCTGCTATTATTGCCTCGTCCTTTTCTTTTTTTTCTTTTACGTCGTTTGACTGAGATAGCCAGCTGGATCCTCCCAGTCCGTATGAGTAAGGTCTTCAGCCAACACGGGGGCTAGGTCCCACTTACACGACTTAAGCGATATTGACCGTAGATAGCAATGATCAACGGCTAGAATCTCTTAATCCGTGCAAGTGGGACCTTGCTCCGGGGGCTAGGTCCCACTTACACGAATTAAGAGATAGAGACCGTAGATAGCCCAGATCAACGGCCGAAATCTCGTAATCCGTGCAAGTGGGACCTTGCCCCGGGTGTGAGTGCGTGTGTGAGTGGGTTGCTTGTGGGGTGTGGGAGAGTGTTGGCTTTAGACACTACTGGTACTCCATGGGGAGTGGGGGAAGATGAAAAGGGGGAGGCACAGTTACTTTTACTGGCAAAAAATGCTCAGTCCTTGTGTTAGCAGGGCCCCAACCCTGTACCCTAAACGCTAGGGCAAAGGGGGAAATGCGCGGTGGTTACCCCTCTCCACCGAGAGAGGTTTTTTTTTTTTTTTTTTTTTTTTTTTTTGGTAATAACAAAACCCGGTTTGCTAGAGGCACTGGTAAGAGCAGACACCCCTAGCAACCCTGTGGCTGGCTCCGATCTATTGGTGGGGAGCCACACCTGCTGGAAATCAGGTCCAGCGTCGCTTACAATATAATAGATAAGCTAACAATGAGAAAATGTAGGACATATTGAAAGAGACTAGTGAAATAGGAGCTAGCCCAGTAGGATATCGTGCCAGACTCTCACCCAGTGCCCAAAGCTCAAATTATGCAATTGAATACAAAGGGAACCAACGCCTCTTCCAATTAGGGCTGGAAGAGCCTCAGCCACTGCTCCGACGGAGACAGCTTCCCTATTCGATATGGATGTAGCATGGGCAAGGGGCATTGATTGCTTCCCAAATAAGGAAGGATTTTTTTTTTTTTTTTTTTCTTTTGGGGGGGGGGACGATGCTCCAATCTATTCGTGGGGAGCAACACGGCTGGGAACCGGGCCCAGCATCCCTTATCAGAATACAAAAATGAGCTACCGAGGCCATTACCCGGCTTCTCGCACCATGCGGAATCAAGCTCTGCCCTGCTCAACTTGACTAAATCTACTTGGGCCGTTCTGCACCATACACACTGGGGGCGAGTGGTAGCAGGGTATAAGAGTCTAACTAAATTGAAAGTCCCGTCAAACCCTTGATAATTCGTTCTGTAATTAGGATCTGAAGTAGACAAGGAACGTGTCTCGCTAGTGTAACCCTAATTAGCACAATCCCTTATCCAATGGGGCAAAATCGAACAGGGAGGAGAAATCGTCGTCCAAACCAAAGCACTGCTTTCACTTCAGATTACTGAAACTCAGATAGGGAGAAAGCAAATGATTTCTGATGAAAGCAGAGATGACGAAGTCAGATTCCCATCAACCAAGAGTTAACTATCAAATCGAAGCACGCAGGTGTAAACAAATGAAATCGAAGAACAGATCAGGAGGGGTCCCGTACACATGAAGTCAATGAAAATTGAGACCGACCCAATCCAATCCTGGCAATTCAAATTGTACAAGTGTAGAAAAACGAAATTGAAAAGCAGATCAGATCAGGATGAGTCTCATACACATGAGATCAATACAGATCAGACCACTCCAATCCAATCCAAACAGTTCAAACTGCAACTCATCAGGGTAAGCAAAGGAGGGGGGGCAATCAGTTCTTAACAGATCGACCTCCACTGCGGTTGAGCTCCATGCAGGGTGGTCACATGAGAAGGGTCGATCTGATCTCCCTTAATCTCGGCCTCTACCCCAATCCATCTCGCATCCATTGCCGGTGCTCGCTCCCCCGAAGATTACGATCCCTCATGCCCAGCTGCCAGCCGACCCCCTCCTCCCGCCCCCCACGCTGCGCAGGCACGTAAACAGAGAAGAGGAAAGGCAAGTGTGCCACCACTTGAGCAGAGCACAGATCGTGGTGCGTGTTGTTACCTACTGTAAAGGTGACGTGAGCAGTGCAGAGATGCACGAAAGACAAGGGGGACATTAGAGGAGGGTGGGAGGAGAAGGAGGGGATGTTGGGAGAAAGAACATAAACCACTTCGGGCTCCTTGCCCTCCGGCTGCCGATTAGCAGCATGCATAGTGCGAGCCAGCTTGACCTCCTCTGCTGCTTGCCCCACTGTCAAACTTTTCATTGTTGCTGATGAGTCTGTTGTCATGATGGATACTGTAGTTGTTGTCGCAGGTGGCATGTGGCAAACGCTCCACCCATCATTATTGACGAAGTTGTTGTGGTTGATGATGTGTCAAGTGAGGTCGCCCTTAGTGCGGCGGCCGTTATTGATGTCGCAGACTCCCCAGAAGGCGAGATGAGAAGGATTGAAGTCCAATCGAGCCTCAGTCTCCAACCTCTCCTTCAGCGCGTCGCTACAATCTATCCCTGTTCGAAAATCATGTTGCAACCGAACATCAGAGCCTCCGCCTGCCGCCAATCAACGAAAGCCTCCAGTTCCGGATCCTCCTCGATCTGCCAGAGGAGCGTTGAAAGTTGCTGACACTTGTCCTCCAGCCATACAACCAGGGCAGATCCCCCCCAATTTGCCACCGGCCAGGCCTGAGCAACGGAGGACAAGACTCCGACAATCCGTTGCATGTGCTTCTGTGTATCTTCCAGTTCGGCCAGCCATGCATTCGCCCAGTGTTGGAACTCCTCTGCTGAGGCCATTGCCTCCAGAACCGGTACGTATATCTTGCCCTGAAGAGCTGCTGCAATCTCGAGCGATGCCGACTTACCTTATTTGATCTAGTCGCTATTCCGCAGTATCTTCACCAGTTGTTTGCGCAAGGACGCCTTTTGTATGCCGACCACAAAACTCCATGTCTATGCCTAGGTCAACTCTCCTTCTTGCTGGCGATGGCATCAACACACTCCGTCCCCCTTGGCACCACCGAGGACTTGGGTCCCATGACCGCCGGACCCGCCGGCCAGTATGTTCCCCGCGCACTCGTGCTTTTAGGTTGTCTTTTTAATTGAGAAGCTTGAATTGAGGTCCAACCTGTCGCCTGTTGATTCCGCCGCCGAAAGTTTTTCATTTACCTTCATTCGCCTGTAAACCAGTGGGCTTCAACAATAGAGTGTGCAATTGGCCGGAAGAGATCTGGAAATTCAGTGAGGGGTCGCAGCGGGATGGAGAGGTCAATCCTGGTCCAATCGTGGAACTGACGACAGTAATCCCTTTTAAGCTTTCCCTGATGTCCTGTCCCCCTCCCTTCCCCCCTTTCCATTGCACTTCCGCAATTCAGCCCCCTTGTTCCCCTCCCAGCCAGTCCTTTTCAAACAGTTCAATTTGCCTTTTAATTTCTGCTTTTGAATGCAAAAAGTTCACTTTTTCTTTTACCCTTTCCCATTGGATAGTAAAATCTGCTTGAATCTGGTGCTTGATTGCTTCTATAACTAATGGCCCTTGGAGGCGAACTCCTTCCATCTCATAGGTGCATCTTCTCCACCAGATTGCCCAGAAGACTGCTATGCAGCCTATCATGAACATATTTCTCTCGAAGGTGCTTGCCTGCTCTGGCTGCCAAGTTTCACATAGAATTGGTTTCCAATCCCATGGCCAGGAAATGGTCGTGCCCAATTGTCTCCACACCCGGTCCCACCACCTCCACAGCCAGACCGAACCGGAGCAGTGCAAAAAAATGTGTTCAATTGTCTCAGGTCTCCTCCTAGCCGGGTATGATGCTACACACACTTTGCACCAGGGGAGAGCCTTTCCTTTCTATTCGAGGGATGTGCAGTCGATCAGCCAATCATTTGTGGGTAGGCAACGGTGTTCTACTTGCCACTGTAGAGAAGCGATCTTGGCTGGCACTGATTTACTAAGTCTGAATCACTTGACTGGTTATAGATCACTCTTTTCCAAATTGAGGTGCCTCATCCAACACTCTATGACCACATCTTTCAGGTTCACCCTTGGGCGTAGCAGCCTGTAAGCTCCCTTTCCTGACATTGAGTGGATTTGCTGCTTACCAATTCTGCCCCTGCCCATCTGTGCGGTCCAGACCCAGATGGCTGGATCAAAAGCTAGTTGTGCAATCGACCTATCAGGTTTATATGCCGTTGTGCAATCAACCTATCAAGTCTGTATGCCCACAAGTGGTCCCTTTCCTTTAACACTCTGATCCGG